ATATATATATATATAATAGAGCTCTTGCAGTGATACAGAATTGTACATGTATGGCTGTGGTTCGATTCATGCTCATAAAGCTTTTAGAATCATTATCCTTAGGTTTGTTCGTGTTGCATACTTCAACATACTCCTATCATAGTTCTTATTTACTTCAATATACTCATTAGAGCAAGTAGGAGCTATGAATAGGAGCATGCGACATGAACTTCTTATTGTTTGTCAAATGTTACCTAAGTTCTACAGTGAGTCAATAGTCAAAAGTCTAAGTAGTCTTAAATTTAATCAGTGAAATTGGCCAATAGCCAATTTGAATGACTAAGATTAATACTGGTCAAGGTTTTCAATTAATATTATATTAATCTGTTTTTGTCATATAAGAAGCTTTTCTAGTCTGTTAATTGGCTGCAACACAAAGAAGTTTTTGGATCTTTCTATCCTGCAGCTAATTGAGATGTTTAAAAAATTTGTCATATGACAAATCACAAATATAATAAAACTTGATTACTGACTCATTGTAAAACCACCATTTAAAGATAAATGATGTAGCCTATGATTGTCAATTGTTAATAAAAAATCAAACTTTAACTCTTTCACCTTCAAAAAAAGAGAGAGAGAAATAAATAATTTATATATTTCACAAAAGCTTTCTGATACGATATATATATATATGACAGATGAATATCATAGTAAATTAAACTCTGGATGTTTTATTTTATCTATTATGTCTGTTTCTAATATATATATATATAGATTAACTTTAATCTCAATTCAACTTACTTTTCATCTTTTTCTAATTCTTAGAACTAGAAAAAGATCGAGTTAATTAAATCAAAATTAAAATGAAATTAGACTAGTAGAAACGCAGACATTATATATAGCAGCACAAGTCGATGCAAACATCAATCTACCTCTTTCTTGACATTCAATAAGCAACAAAAATAGAACAAACTGTGTTGACTTGTATATTTTCAAATGGAAAATATTTCTTTTTCCAATTCTTATCAGCAAAAGAATTCTAATTATACCCAGCATTAAAAAGTTAAATAAGGTATATTTTAGATGGCAAGGTCTAGAGACGTTTTTATATCATGGCCTTAGAATTATGACAAGCGATAAAGTAAGAAATAGGATACTTGTGATCATGGCAGTGCGCACCTTTGTGAAAGACAGCTCCTTTGTAATGCAATTTTGAAGCCTTCAATCCGGCACCTCTCTCGCCGGTGCACAGAACACGGAAATTCTCCGCAGTCCGTGGCACGACATTCTTGAACAGCTCTATGATAACTCTTCCCACTAGAAAACAATAAGACCATAAGCCGGTGTTTGTACCGGGAGATCATGTATAACCTCGCGCGAGGATACCTTTTTCGGGACCGATCGCCACATCCAGAAAAACCACGGGGTTGTCCTCATTAGTGAGCAAACTGTCATTATTCTCTTCCGAAGGTTCTTTCATTTTTCCTTCTTGGTATGATCACCGAGGTGAGATTCTTATTCCACAAACTTGACAAACACACGACGCTCGCGTGAACGTAAACGTTACTCGCACTTGTCGTCCGTGTCGATTGTTGTCTTTCTTCTCGGGAAATCTTGGGTTGCTTGATACGCACCTGTTCTCGAATAGGTTAATGAGTTAATCATTATTCATTTTTGTAAATTTCAATTATGTAAATTTAGTAGTATTAAATATACGAAATTTTCGCTACTTTTAACCAGCGTGTGGTATATGCTCCTTTTTCTTATTTTTATCATTATTCATTAATGATAATATTTTAACGTGGAGACTTAATTGCAATAATTCGATTGATTTCTGAAAGATTTTTTAATAATAAAAATATTCAGAAATTTTATGAGATTGAATAATGCAAAATGATTGATTCGTCACTTTTAATCTCGTGTTTTTTTTTTATATTTATGATAGCTCGCTGAACAAAAAAGAAATTTTTTTAGAATTTTTTATACAATAAAAATTCTTGTGGAAAAATTATATCGTTTACTATAATTAAAGTTATATCATACAAAGAGTAGAACTGGATCAAATAAATTCAAATAACTGCCAATAAGCAGAGTTAATAATACTTCCTAATAAGAACAGAGCTTGCTAATTTGAACTTGAAAATCCATTTGTTTCCATAAACATCTTCAAGTCAAAACTGAAATCATTTTGTAACGTACTGTGCATAACTGCAGTTTAATAATTGATTATTTTAATTTGTTTTATGTATTCGTTTTTATTTAAATCAACTAGATGTTGTACTCACATTTCTGATGTCATCATAAGAAATACAAATATAAAATATTTTATATAAATTTGATGCAGCTTATACTGCTGTTTATTATTCTCTGTCTTAAAAATAAATTGTAGGAAAATCATTTTTCTATATAAGTATTTAAAGTAATGACGTAATAAAAAAGTATGTACATGATATATTTATTTTAAATATATCATTATTTGAATATTAATAATAAAAAAATTAACACTAGGTCCCACCGAGATTTGAACTCGGATCGCTGGATTCAGAGTCCAGAGTGCTAACCATTACACCATGGGACCTCTTACGAAACAGTTGTATTAGATAGTATATATTAACTAACTTAGTGAAGATTTGACCTCGCTTAATGTCAGTAAAAAAATTTAAATCTTAATTAATGGATGGAGATACTCAAAACTTAGTAGATTCCTAATTAGCAAAGATACAGATTTAAATTTAATTTATTGAGAGTTAGAAACTGATACTAATTTCAAGATTTATTAATTTTATAGGTACACATATATATGTTAAAACTATAATAATATTAGATTTTCAAACTATTTAATGTTATCATTCAAGTTTGTTTATCAATAGAGAGATGATAATTACAGAGGAAAAGTTAAAATTTTTCGGCAATATATAAGGTACTACAGCATTAACAGTATGCATATTTATTTATACAGTATTTATATAATAAAAAAACAAATTGAATAATGTTATCGAAATATATATTAATAATCGCAAATTTTTATTAATTGTCAATAATATCATCGTTCTTCAATTATTCACAGGCTCCCATTTCGATAGTTAAAATTTGATTAGAGTCGATCTTAATAGTATACGTACATACATATTTATACCAATCGACCCAGTATCCGAAAAATCAAAATTTTGGTTCAGTAATGACTACATAAAATCCATGTCTATTTCAATTTCTAAAAAATTTTTAAGAATTTTTCGAAATTCCAAGCACTAGGATTTTTAAAATATAATAAAGAGGGGGGATAAACATAAAATTCGAAATATTCCTTCGTTTTATCGTTGTAATGAGTATAACAATGAAATTTCTCACAGAATAACATGTATTCGCATATCGCTTTATGTAATAAATTTTAATACACATATGTAATATTTATCATTTTTATTTATATTTCAGAATTCTCAATAAGAATTCTCGCTATATGTATATATTATATATATATATATATATAAATTATAATATCTATATAAACAAGCCAGATATTAATATACTTATCATATTTAGTAAGTAGTCAATCTCTAGAAGCTTTTCTAACACTAGAAAGGTATTATATTCTATTAGAAAACTCTTATTTATCATATATTTTTTGGAAATAATAACGAATCGTATATTTCGTTACTTTACGCGATTTATTTTGACTTGTCAATTTTCACAATGCGATTTGACAAGCGCTCCGCACATTTATCTTCTTCAGCAATCTGCATTCAAGTGAACAACGCTTAAAATGAATAAAATCATTGATAAAGCATTGTTCATATTATTTTGAGCAATAAAAACGCACATTTGTTTTTTCCCATAGCTTATGTATAACATCACATAAAATAGCGTTTATATGTCCTTCATGTATGAGTATATGCGAAAAACGAGCTAATTCTTTTTGTCGTTTTTTTTATTCGTACTAATTCGTTTCACACGGCAAATTTGGCAAATCATTTTAAAGATCTCATTTTTGTTCTATATAGATACGACTGACAGACATTACGATCTACACAATGCTCTCCCTTAAGAGAGAAAGTCGGTTAAATATTATACAAATATGACCCCACATAGAAATGCTTGTTTGTTCTAAAGCCAAGTTGATAAAGAAAAAAAGGTGCAGATTTAATGATTTTTAATAGAAAAAAAGTAAACGCTCCTGTGCGCTTCCAGACAGTAATCTCCATCCTCGTTTAATGTTTAAATATTGAATGATGGCACGTACACAAATTAAAACACCTGAAAATGTAAATTGCATCAAAATTTATCTTCTCAGTAGTTGTGGTCTTTTAAAACACACATTTTTCGTTTTTAAGTCTAATTATCTTTTTAAACGTTATACAAACCAAATGCCATTATCAACCACCACAGCCATGAATTCTCTCGCGAAGCAAGGTCAGTAGAATGTTTAACAATGAGTGTCCACTTTGTGAGAGATAATCCGAAGCCAGCTAATGCACCGTAACGAGAAGCAATAGTGTGACAGAAACACATCATTAACAAAAATCCGATCCAGTTGAATAAAAATGCGACTGTAAAAAAAATTAATTAATGCAAATAATTGTTGGTATAAGTTAATAGATTTTGTAGAGAATATAAAGATATCCCACCAAGAAATGCTGTGAAGAACATAAAATCTGTACCAAGTAACCCACTTTCTGGATCTCCTTCCGCAGTTTCAGTATCTATTGCCAATATTGTTAAAGGCTGCTGAGGTGATCTAATATTTCCTGGCTGTAAAAAGAGATTTAGAGCTCCTTAGAAACAGAATATTTCAAAATATATTATAGATATATATATTAAAATTTTCTTGAATACAGGCGTATACCATATGTACTTGAGGCTGCGGTTCTCCTTGTAAAGTCTTTTCACGCTGAACCTCTTCGTAACTGGGTAATTTTGTAGCTACTTCATAAGGTGGTGGTGCAGAGAAATCTAATTTTGGAGGTGGTATCTCTTCCCCATCAGCCTAAATAATTGTTTTCAGTTAATAATTACTCAAATCAGTTAACATTGTATGTGTGTAATGTATCATGTAGTATTACACAATTTATATGCATATCAAATATTACATAAATTAACATAAATTATATAAAACATTACATAAATTACATAGATTATACAGGATTTAAGCATTTGTTTAAAAGTTATCAAACACCCTGTATAAAATTAATACAATCATGTAATTTATGTAACATTATGTAATAATGGATTTGTCCTTTGTCTGTATTAAAACTATACTAAAACTTTCCATTGCTTTTGCCAAATTTCAAATTAAAAATATATTTATTCCATTTTTAAAACATATAATACTATAAATTAATTCAGTTACAAAAAACAAACTTTAATATAGCGTAATTACGATTTACTATATTACCATTCGGTTTGTCATTGTAGAGTGTGCAGCAGCAGTGGATGCTCCAGAATGTCCAAGCATGTCGACTTGCATAAATGGCATTGCTACAGTAACTGTAGGAATTTCATTTTGACATGATGTTTCGCCACCAGTATCTGCACCCGCTTGAGGTGGCTATAAAACAAATTTCAGTAAATCCATATAACTCACGAAGTACTGGATATTTTCCATTTAATGACATAAACATCACTATACCTTTCATGACATTCAAGTGAATAACAACATAGAATTTTACTTTTATTGCTTTGTCATAAAAAAGCAATAAAGCATTCATTGTTATCTCTGAAAGAGTAACTAACAAAAATTTTTGGAATCAAAATGTACATATAATATTAATTACTTTTCATCTATTTTCATTCTATAACAAATATAAAGTTATGAGTATTTTATATTGAAATAATAATGTCACTTGCTTACTTTGGTAACAAAGCTATCATGTAACAACACAAGTTAATCTTCTTTTTGATTTAATAAACTCAGTAAAGCATGTAGTCTCGAACTTGTGTAGATTATAGATAAAAAGTTGAATCTTACTAGTTAGAATGAAAAGGAACATTTATTCAACTGTGTTATGACTCCATAAATAAGAATTATCTGACTTTTAGTGTAAATGAAAAGCAACTATTATATAGCAGTTTAGTTTTCATCGAAATTCTCAATTCGGTTTGTGCAGTACATTTCTATTGAAAGTAGAGACCTTGTGGATCGAAGTGAAATGAGCACAATCAAATGCATTTCTATCGACTTAAATTTTGATTCTACGCTGCAGATATGAATTACACGCTAAATGTGACTTAATGCTTCAGTGGGAATTAGACCATTGATGTAATATTTTTGCGCACAAGAATGATGAAAACAACACAAGGGATGAACGTATGACAGGACAAACAAAGCCGACTACGATCGCGCGAGTAAACATGTTGACGATCACAGACTTGTCAATATGACAATAAAAAGTATTTCGTGCGAGTAGAAAAGATCATGTCCGAGGGGTGTTCTTGGTGAACGCGGAACCACAGCAACTTGCAGCCTCGTCATGGAGCAGACGTACCGTATTATGACGGGCGTTATTGTCCATTTCTGACCAGATTTGCGCGGCGCGGTTACGAGACTATAAATCGCGAAAACTTTTCCTGAGAGGACGATATACACGTTT